GAACGGCGGCTCCGGCCAGAGGGGCTTCCGTGGCCTTACAGCCCGCGCGGAGCGGGCGGGCGCGGTAACTTCGCCTGTGCGCGAACGATAAGCAGCATGAAAAGCGATCCCCAGAACGAGAAACCACGTTTCCCGTGGCCCTTCTCAACCTTTTAGTCACCTCTTGTTAAGTACGTGTTTGACGGGGCATAACCCAACCCACCACCCTGCGCCCTTTTCGGTCTGCCGCGGGGGTGATCGCCGGTACCCGGCTCCCACCCTCGCTCTGAGGCTGTCTCATTAATATTCCTTTCCCCACTTGCCCATTGGCACAGGCTAATTGAAATGCAGAGAGAAGAGAAGTCTGTCATTTAAAGTGAGCTCAGGATGCAGGCAGCCAAGAAAACAAACCGTCCTTCTTTTGCTCAGATTGCATTACTTTCTGTTGCATTGTCTTTTAAAGCACGTTGCCCTCCTTTCTTACACCCAGTCCTTCTTTGGTAGTAACTGGACCGCTGCTAGGATTCATTCCCATTGATTTTAGGTTTTCCAGCGGAAGTAGATCAGGACAGGCTTGACAATTAAAGATAAGGGTTTATATTTAGAGTACCCTCATTTTGCATTGTTAACTCGGAAATAATTAAATAACACCAGCCATAACATTGCAGCTTTTTTTTTTAAAACCAATCTCCATCCATCTTCTTTCCTTTCAATCTGTTAATTGCAGAAAACACAGCTCTCAATTATCCTCTTAACATCACTGGCCTACCTGCTTATTGCATTTTGGCTGAAGTTGTTTTGCTGAAGTTTGCTTCTGAATCATTACCAGTTCAAAAATGAACACGTGAAGTTGCATGCACAGACATGGTGGGAAAAAAAGAAGGAAAAAAAAAAAACCCAAAAATTATTTTATTCAGTTAACTATAGAATCAACTACAAAAATTGGGGGATTCTTTTTTTCTACTTTCCTTTCTGCTGTTTTTCCTTTGTTTCCCGCTTCCTAAGTGCTGCTGCTTGCAGCTGGAGGTCCCCTTACTTTCCTTCTCCTCTAGTGGCTTAATGACTCCACAGCAGAGCATGAGAGACAAAAGAAGGAAGAAAAGTGCTTGGGCTGTCAAGACAATCTGTTTCTTTCCACTTAGATATTTAATAACTTGCAGTAAGACTGGGAAGAGAGAGGGAACAAGCTGTATTTCTTTGTTTTTAAATAACCAGTAAAATGACAGCCCAAACTGTGGGAAATTACAAAGATAAGGACACAAGTGCAAAAACTGAAATCCAAGGAACACTCATTCAGCAGCCATCTCACGCTGGCCATGTCTAAGGTACAAGGCCTTCATCTTCTACCAGATGTGAAAATGTGCTCTGCTCACAATTCTCCATTGTCTGATCAGTTGAGCATCTACGGTCAATCTAATCTTCTTTGGATCTGCCTGTAAGTCCCCAAGTATTAGGAGTTAACAAATGATACTAAAGGCAGGATCAGTAGAGAAACCCTCACAGTAGAGAAAACTAGTTTTAACTACTTGTCCTAAAAAGGGTGATTTCACAAACATCAATATGCAGGAAAAAAAAATCATTAAAAGTGGAGAGCCTTCGTGATTTATTCTTACGTGAAGTCCATTGCATAATATAAGCTGAACAATTTTTTTCCACAGGTGTTCGCAGCGTTCCTTCCCAAAAGACACGTAACTGTAATACTGAAACTAGAATCTAATCTTTGTATGTGAGTTGCATCAAAACATAGAAAAACACATTTGTTAAGGAAAGCAGTCACGGTGGCTTCTTGTTGCTGTGATAGCATATTGTCATTCTTCAAAAGCCACATGAGGTAGATACGTATTTATAACGAGCTTGTGCCCAAAGCCTTCCCCCAGAAAAATGTGCTCGGTTTTAGGCTCTAATCACAATTATTACCTGTGATGTTCTCTGAGATCTACCATAGCTTCATGCATTGAAGTCCCACTTCAGATAAACCACGTACCTTAAAAGTATCAGAAACTTGAACATAACTCCTCATTGCCATTCTCAGACAAGTTGGACAGCCCTGTGGGGCATCTCAAATCACAGGGAAGCTGAGTACAGGGACAGTGTACTGAGTGGCTCAGTGTTACTGAGGCAGTGTGTGAGACATCAGAGGCAGTATAATTACTACCAGAGAGAAGGTTCTTTGTGATAGTCCCACACCCTTATAACCCACGCTGCTGATGAACTGGAAGGCATTTGAGGAGAAAAGTGTGGCATTGCTGGGGTTTTACTGTTTTGTTGGGTTACATGCATGCACGGCTCACAAACGCTAGATGTGTTAGCTCTTGTTGGTTAGAAACAGCGCACTTGAGCCCCCCCAGGTCCATAGTCAACAGGGAACTCTCTCTTCCTTTCTGCATTATTTGCAGAGTGGTATTGAATGCTGTCATTCATTATTGAATTTCCGTTAGCTCTGAGTCATGGGCACAACACATCAGCTGGGTTTGTGAGACTCTCCTGAGTCCTGATGCAAGTGCCCTAAGAGGTAGGGAGTCAAGCCATTGGTTTGAATAGGACTTGAAACAGTCCACTGGAAGGCAGCAGGTCTACAAATTGTTATTTTCAAAGTATAAACAAATTATTTTACTTAAAAGGTTTTATTTCTTTTCTGCTATATTTGCTGAAATATATAACTAGAATTCAATCCCTATTTTGATATTTAAAAATATCTTAAAAAAAGGACCTTACAATCCCATTATTCCCCCTTGCCAAGGATCTCAAAGCTCTGTACACACTGATAAATGGTGTTTCACAATACCTTTGTGAGATTGGAAAGACTTCCTCTGTGAGGACAAATTGAATAGCAGGGCAGGTATGTGACATTTTGTAAGCACTCTTTCCAGTGTAGAGGTAACAGAATCACAGGAGAGGTTAAGCCCAGGCAAGTCATTCTCTGTATTGCAAAAGACTAAATCGAATGGTCCCTTTACCATTTTGCTTAAAAAAATAATATAGATGACAAAATTGCTCCGTCCTTTAGGCAGAATAAATTACTCAGAAACAATACCTCCAATTTGTAGCCATTAGGGAGGTGGCAGTAAACATTTTCTGTCATGGACATTATCAAGTAATACCAAACAGAACTTAACACAGTGTGCTGATCTGGGGTACCTTCTGCAGTATACTAGTTCCAGACAAAAATTTTGGCAGATTGAAGTAATCATCATATACTTTGTGCTGCTTGAGAATAATCCTCACCCTTATATCTAGGCCAGCAACACTCTTAGCCATAAGAATAAAAACAATAATCATTGGGGTTCAGTAAAGTGACGCATATATGTGATAACTGAAGTGATATTTCAGAAATTTTTATATGTGATATAGCAGTGGACTTATTTTTACTATAAAGTATGCTTTTTATAAATGCTTTAAACTCTAAAAAGGCATAAAACATCTCAATCAATATGGTATTAATTATTGGAAAGACTATCTTATTTATCCTTTTAAAGTTTAGATTTATAAGAATTAAATAGGTAACCATTCACATATAAATGCAAGTGTTTGAGATACATAACCAAGATACAATGCCTATGTAAGTTTAAACATGTATGTTATGTTATGTTATGTTATGATTTATGTGAATAATGACAAAATAAGAAATTGAAGGGGGAATTAGTTTTTGACCAAGTCAGTCCCTAGACTGGTTCATCATGCAGCTACATGAATGTTAATCCGAGCAAAATGAAAGGACAAGCTGGCTCCTTTCAGGAGCAGCTCCGCATTACGCCCCATTGAATTGATGATGGAAATAAGATTTCTGTGAGAATAAAGGACTCAGGTCTCCAAAACCCCTATAGCCACTGACTTTTTGCAAGATAGCTCCCCAAATCCCTCAGAGAAGTGAAATTATTTTGAAATGCACCATTCAACAGTAGATGCTAGTATGATAAACAAGGAAGCAAGAAAAATCTTATGGCCTTATGTGGTACCCACTGTTATAAGTGCCTGAGCAACTTTTAATCTTTAGGGTTTTCCATCTAACTGTGACACTACAGGATTGGGAAGAGTCGTGCTCATTCAAAAGCTCTATCATACAGACTTCCTGACTGAAGAGCAGAAGTAAATGGCCAGTGCCAGCTTTATTTCAACTGTGTGTAATCAGCCTTAAGTCACTTTCTGAAGTGCAGTGGGAAGTTCAGCAGAACAGGAAATTGATATGAGCTTTCCCATCTTATGTATTGATGAGTGTTTTTTTCTTTCCCAGGACTATACTTCCCCCAAATTTGAACCTTAAAATCCACATCAGGATTTTTAGTCTTCTCCAAATACTGCAGAGATCTACAGAAAGAATGAGTGGAGAGCATCTCGGTTTGGCATTACTTGATAATGTCCATGACAGAAAATGCTTACTGCCACCTCCCTAATGGCTACACATTGGAGGTATTGGTTTTGAGTAATTTATTCTGCCTGAAGGATGGAGTAACTTTGTCATCTAAATTGGTATCTATCAGGAGTAGTGAGACTTGCGTCATCCTTTTAGAGTAGGTCTTCCTTGACGGGACCACTGTAAGGCAAGCAGCAGAGGGCAATGCAACACATGCACCAGCTGGGGTGGGAAAGCTCGGATAAATAGAACTGGCTCATAACTTGGTGTGAGTGAGAGAAAGGGGAGATCTGCTTTTATAAAGAGCGATAGTTTTCTTCAGCTGCAAATTCCTGTTTTCTTTTCACATCTGTGAGGAGCTCACGTATCACAGCAGGCTGAAAGTAAGTTTCCAGCAAAACAAGACCTTTCCTCTGGGTAGACAAGATGGAATGCAGAAAACATTTAGATGTTAAATAATTTCATAAATGTCTTTACATTTGTGTTACTTGTACAAATACAGTCTATTTTGTCTTTCAGCTGTTCACTCAAGTATTCCTTGGGCTCTGAAGATGTTTTCCATGTAAAGCAACACAGATTTGTGATGTTTCATGTTCCAGGTGTCCATCTTGGGGCAAGTAGAGCTTGTTTATTAGGGGGATAGAAATATTTATCATTTCTAAAAATCAACATGACAACATGGAACTACTTTGAGGTTCATTTTGTTTGAATATATTTTGAAGTTCAAAGACAAATGCTCTTCTATTGCTACAATGAGATTGATATTTAGAGAAAATTTTACAGACATAGGGCCTGTTATGATCAACCTTTTTTCCAGGAATACAAAGAAAGGAGAGACACTAGACTTCTGCCACCTTGTGTTGCTCATGAAATTGCCATGTGGTGACTTTGCAGTCTGGAAATACCAGGAATCATTTGTCAATGGCTGTCTTTGTTTCTGCAAAGGCCTCATCTCCCCTCTTCACTAGCTAATATTGGCCATCATAAATGATGTTCAACGCACACGAATTTATCAATGACCAATGGACTTGCCTAAGCCTCAAGGCCTCAGACGGCTTCTGAAAGGATGTGCTTCTGCACGTCTTTTTTCCCCACCACAATGCAGTCTGTAGGCAGATGATGCAACTGAGCAGTGACATTTCTATGTCTAAAATATTTAATTAATTAGTTAAATTCTGCTTTTGGAGAGTCAGTAGCATGAAAGAGTAGTAAAAACAAGCAGAAAGTTAAATGGAATATAGCATGACAAACAAAGGGATTTCTGAGAGATGAGTTTTCCAGACAAACTGGTTTAAAAGGTACTGTCTTTTGTGAACAAGCACAAGTCACTCTAAAACAAAAAGCCCAATACAGACCTTCAGATTGCCTGAAAACTGCTGGAATTGGCAATTCTGGCAGTGACAGATTTTGAGCAGAAAAAATCACGGGGTTTTTTTTATTTCTACTAAAAGGGCATTGAAATGTTGAATTTAAAAAAAAAAAAAGGATGCTTTTCTGAAGTACTGATAAAAAATTTCAGCCCCTGCCCTAATTTCAGTGCTGCTTAAAAGAATGGCCAGAATTCATTTAGCAGTCTGTCCAATAACTGCTCCTATTCAGGAAAGCTTTTGTTGCTGATCCAAGATTACCTTATCTTGGGTGGCAAAAAATCTGCATTTTAAAAATGATTCTGCCTCCTGGGACTTCAAAGAGTTTCCTCCTGTCTGTGACTAATGTTAGCTAAAACACACGCGAAGGTGTTCTTCTATCACTAACAACAAATAATCCAAAGACAGTTCTAACATGAAATGTCTTGCCTAGATTCAACAAGAACAACAAAAAAATCATATTGCCTCTCACAGAGTCGACACAAATGTAGCTTCTTTGTCTATGGAGTCTAGATAGCAAGATTTAAGAGGAAGAGTGTTGTGCTATGTCCCATGTTTGTTAGAAAAAAACATAAACCACATAATTGCTTATGGATGTAGCTGTAGCCTGTGACAGTTTGCTCACATTTTGCAAAAACACTGAGCTATTTATAAACATATCTGGGTTAAGTAATTGCCATTATAGTATTTTTATACATTTAAAAGAAGAATTTAGCTTTTCTGCACGCTGCAGATCACATATTATGCAGGATGAAAAATCATAGTAAAGACATTTGCATAAACAAACTGCTAGATTTCAGCACCTGCTCCATGTATTGCAGTTTCCTGAATTGCCCCTTGCTGCACCAACAGATAGAGAGATCAGGAAGCCCCTAGCTGGGCAGATGAGAACCACCCCAGCTTCCGAGGACCTAGTTAGATGGATTCTCAGCCAGCCCTGCTGGAGCAGGCTGAAGTACCCAAGGATGCACAAATCCAGAATGCTCCTAGCACGCACCTAAGCTGGCAGTATGAATCTTTCCCCCACTCTTCCATGCTTCAGTGCAAGAGATCTTTACGTGAATGAAGGTTCTCCATCTCATCTTTACTCACTCCCATATATGCAGGTGCCAAGCACAGCCCAGGGCCCAAGAAAAAGGACCAGACTTCAGCAGCTGTCAGTCCAGCCGCATTCCATTGCTTTGAGAATGCTCTGGGCTAAAATAAATAAATAAACAGATAAATGGATGACACTTGGTGTAAACAGGCCTGTTTTGCTTTCCTCTCCTTTCAAGCAATGAATCACCGGTGAAATAGAGGTGATTCACTAAGGGAGTCCAAAGCATGCTTTCTCTTTCGCATGTGAGTCTGCAGAAGCCGTCCATGCTCTAAAGGGGGAGAAAACTAGGCTGCTTTTTAATATTCATTTCCACAACACTGAGTCAAAGCCGCTTGTAAGTGCAAAGGGATTTTTAAGGAAAACCAGAGCTGCCCTCATATCTCACTAACAGAGTGCGAATGTATAAATAGTTGCAATGGCAGATAGTTTGTGTCAACACGGTATTGTACCTGCGAGCATCTGGGTAGCAGCTGCTTGACACGAGAGAGCAACTGAGCGGCTGCTAGCAAAATATTATGCTGCTGTCTACAAAGTAAGTGCTGTGTTACCCAAAAGCTCGGGACAGTGCTATTCAAATCTGCCACACCAAAAGGGGTGCCCAGGGCAAGGGTTTATTAGCCATCACCAAGATTATTTGAGAAGAGAGAACTTGTTATGTCCTTTCTAATTGATTCTGTGGTACCTGGCTTTGTGCTCAGAGCTCTTGCTGATGGTCCCTACTGTCTGAGAATCTGGACAGGTCCTCACCTTGGCCTGGCCAATCTACTGGGTGGACAAAGTTGCATGCCACGTTTTGGGAACATGGTGACAGGTTCTCCTCTCTTCTCTGATGACCCTCCGCACAATTTTCTCACTGCACCATCTGGCTTCAGAGGCTTGATATGGTACATTGCAAGTCCCTTTTTTTTGCTGAGAAGCCCTGAGGGATGCTGTGGGGTCACAGGGGTGGCTCCAGCTGCTCCTTCCTCCCCTTTCTGGGGAATGCAGTTCTGCTTCTCATGAAGGAAGCTTTTAGCTAACCCCCAATTGCCGCTGTATCAAAAAGCAGGCATGAGCATGGCCAGAAGTCACAAACACGCCCATTAGCCAGAGCAAGATCCTCCCCAGAGATGGCTCTCCCTAAAAGCCTGAATCTGTTCTCACAAACACCAGAGGCAGAGGGGCAGTGATCTGGGGTACAAGAGACTGGAGAGACACAGAGAAAAAAAGTCTTTTTTTATCTAATTTGTCAGGCCACGTAACTCCAACTTTCAACTCCACACTCTTCACAGAATTCCCACTCCTCTCGTTTGCTT